AAACTGAAAAAACTTTGACTCGCTCAGATTTAGGATATTATAATTTGCTTGGAGAATGAACGAAATATTCAATTGAAGGATTTTAATGGAATTAGATATGATACAGGCAGTTAATACAGTTAGCAGAGAACATCTCCTATCTGAATTTTAATCTCTTCTCTCTCATGATTAATGAGAATAATTGCCGAAGAAAGGAATGCTATGATACCTGAACAAAACTTGCTTGTCACTATATCACTGAAAGTCTTCATCGAGTAGCATCATTGCTTGTGTATGAGAAAGGTTATCTGTCATTGAAGTTTATTTGAAACAGTTAACTCCATGATACTACACTAGTGAAAAACTAAATCGTCAACATAAAACCTGTTTAAAGTGTCAGGAACACTTGACTACCTGTTAGAATTATACGTATGCCATGTATCAATTTGTCTATAATATAGAGATTAGATTGGTGCTTCGAGTTCATATGAGACTATCCTTAAAATTTTGATTGCATGAGCTATAAACATGCATCTACAAATACTTTCTATTGCTGTCAATAGGTTAAAACGACTTTCAACATAACTCAGGTTCGTACAATATTATTCTTACAACTTCCATTTGAATCAGTGGAAATTACCGATTGATCAATATTACGTTTTGATATTTACTCTCACATATACGTCGCGTCGTTTTCTCGAATTCATCTCAACTCTTTTTGATGTAGAATTCGTTTCCTTCTTTAACATGTCAATCGTCATGAGCATGTTGTTAACTAGAAGTTGAAAAGAAAGGAAGGTTATTATGTGGATTTTATACATAGTCGTGTCAAACACTTGCTTTTCTTTCTTAACTAAGACTTAAATTGATAAAGACACATTTTTATCATTAAATAACAAGTCAAAACGATCATGCTTATTCTATGATTTCTCGATGAACTATCCAAAAACAAACTTTAATTTATTTTTGCTTTTGCAAAATTTTTTTATAGATGACAATATTTTTCAGAAAAAAGAAAATTTAGAATGAAAATTTGCCAGCTTTGTAAAAGTTACTTGGATTTCTGTATTCTTTTTATCTACCTGATATATTTATTTAAATTGAAATTAAGTTTCATTAATTCATTTATAATCATATTATTTAATCGAATGGTTTTAAAAGATTAGCCTATCGAAAGACTCATCTTATAATGACATAAATTGATATGTATATATCATTGAATTAAAATAACGAATTTCGAAACCGATCTAATATTAAATAATATAACAAATAATAAAAAACAAAAAAGGAGTGGGTGTGGGTGTGGGTGTGGGTATGAACGAAGGGAAGATTAACACCTACACCCACACCCTCCATAGCTTTATCATGCAAAAAAAATAATATTTTTGAATGATCAGCAAAACTAGTTAAAATATATAAAATATAATCAGTTGTTGATTGACTTGTACCAACAAGTATTGGATGACATATTATTGTATCTTCATTTCATGTTATAGCTGCGTATATATAGAAATCTTATACGATCAATACAATCAACGACATGTTTTTGCTCTAACAACAAAATAAGAAAATATTATTTAAAAAGTTTTAAAAAAACACAAACTCGTGTTGAATAGAAGCTGATGAATTATAAAGCCATGGAAGAAAACGAACAAATGCCTTTGAAACTGTTTGTCCACCTTTAGTAAATTCTAAAGCAAGATATTGTTCAAGACCAACTTTTAATTGTTCACCTAATATATCTTCTGTTAAATTAGATAACTGTTGTTTTGCACGTTTTTCTTTCATTGTACTCTATTTGAATATCAGTAATAAATGCAACTGTTACCTTAAGATAATGTTTCATATAATCAGCTCCATTTGTTGTTACCTAATTTTAAAAAAATAAGTGATATAGAAAAATTCTATTTTTTTTTACAAATAAAAGTGCCGATATATCAATTATACCATCAGTATTAAGTGAAATTACCTAAATAAATATCAAAATTGATTTACACAAAAACAAATAGATATTTACTTAAATCATTAAAAGAAAATTTTAATCTGGGCATAGATACTGATAAAGCATAGCTTTAACAAGAACAGTAACAATACATCTTGGTAGTTTCAAAATTTTGAAGAAAAAAAATTTTTATTTTTACTTATTTAAATGTTCGATTACTAAATGAACATAATTCAGTAATCTGTTCTAATTGAAATGTTAATAATTTTAATAATACATCAAGAACAAGTCATATATTTTCTATGCATGATACTTTAAGTATATTCATCATAATACGAAGTATTGGCAGTAATTCAGAATTATTTGGTATACTAGATTTAATTGCTGCATATATAATCAAATTCAAGAAAAATACTTATCCATAATTGAATAGGTGAATCAATTGGAATATAAGTCATAAATTGTACGATATTACTAAGTAATGTTGTGCAAATATCAAGTAAAATACTTTTTTGTTTATTCATATGCGATCGAGAAATAAATATTTTTATCTTATTTCGAAAAAAAAATCAAGCTACATTAAGATATTATTTAAGTGCAATTATTGAATTAAACTTCAGAAAATCGTTTTAATAATTAGGCAATTATATATAATAATTAATCATCTTTAAAAAAATGTTTCTTCATCTAAAATTTTATTTCTATAGAAAATAAATTTCGAAAATTTTCTCAAACAAATTGATAAAATATATTATTTGCAGCTAAGTATTGAAATGTATAACGAACATGCATAAATATATGAGATTCAGCAACACTTCCAACTATTTCAATTATATTCATAAATAATGGTGCAAGGATAACGCGTTTAAAATGAACAAGTATACCACATACAATAACACAATATCCAATACATTCTTCATTATAATATTCAATAGGTTGTCCACATTTGATCATATTTCGATACAGATATAAATCTGTATCAACATATGGATTGTCTAATTCATCATTTGTTGTTTCTGCTCATTTAGTAGTTGACCTTATGATGATAATGTACGTGTTGGACGATTGAATAAATATTTTTAAAAAAAAGAAGTAAATAACAAAAAAGTAACATAATTCTGTTAATCTTAATATTGGTGATCGAACATTTGAAGCATATTTATATTTTGTTTTTGTTTTTATTTCAATAACTTGGTTTTAATTTTTCACCGATTATTGTACTAGCCATACTAGCTAATGTTGATGATGGCAATGATGTTATTTTAGGAGTATTTGGTGAAGTTTCTTCTGACATATAAGATAGATTTTACTAATTATTATTTTGATTTTACATAAACCTTTGATTCCACTATCACCAGGTATAAGTAAAACAGTTTCAATTTAACCACGTTCAGCTGAATAAACAACACATGAAAGTTGTTGCATTCCTACAAAATATTTATGATCAATCAGTTGAATCAATGTTTTCGTCTGTTTGTTGGATTGTTAATGGTTAATCAAAATATTCTATTTCAGTTTTATATAAGCTATTTTAAACTAATTAAAAATAAAAGAATTTAATAAATGTTTTTTTTATTTTGGTTTGACTTTTTTCGGTTGTAAAAATAATCTAAAACATTTATGTTCAACAATACTTGTTGATTTAGCTTGTGTATTACTTCCAACTCATATTGACCTCCTAATTTATTTAATTCTATTTGACAAATATCATCAAATAGTCGCGATGATCGTTACATGAAATTTTGTTTTTCAATCATTTTATCAAATAAAAGTTAACATTGATGATCATAACTAAGAATTGTATTCAATTGCAATAAGAGTTATATGTTGGATTGTTCCATAAAATGTTCTATATTGATACTAAAGTTTTTTTTCTCAAAATAAATATTTCATTCTTTTAAGGAAAATTAATATTTTATTTTATATAAAATAATAATAAAAGTCATTAACCATGAATCACATAAACTAGAATATATACATCCAAGAATATTTGATGCAAAAAACATGTTTATAAAATTGCATTGATACTCTTTGAACATGTTAAACATTGAAGAAATGAAAGAAAAAATGGTAAAAGAACAGTTCCAAGACTGAAATTATAATCAACAGCTTTTGGAATATTTGCTAAAAAATGCATGGAAAACTGGGTTCGTCTAAAAACAATAAAAGATATACTTATATAAATAATTGACAAAACAGACGATATTTTGCTTGGTAAATTAATAAATGCTCGATTTGTTGGATTATATTCAAGTAAAGAACAAAGATACCGAATAATAACGTTCTTTAAAGAAAAAAAAAGCAATAAATAATTAAAAATAGTTTGCTTTTTACTTGTTCTGTAAGTATAGTTCAATCTTCATTAAGGTTCCTCGCAAAAATCGATTTCAGCCCAGGAACATCCAAATTGCATGAAACTTTCAGAATATGTTGAAGTTGGTGAGCGATGGCTATGGTAAAATTTTCAGCCCAATATCATGACGCTTGACAGAGTTATTCACCAAACTAGGGTCAATAATAGCTCTATCGTATCTTCAAGATTTCTCTGTGGGCCTTCTTTGTATACATTTTAAAATTTCTTTTGTTTGAAAGCTTGTATCAAAGGATAGTCCCTCTTGTGATTCTTTTTTTAAAATTCTTAGTTTATAAGCGAAGAACACCGATGACAACTTTAATGACTGAAAAACTCCTAAAAAAATGGCGCTGTTTTTATAGGTGTTTTTTTATATAGAAATAAAAAGGCTTTTTTAAAAAGGAGCCACGATTGAGGCTAGCCATAGAGACGTTTGACTTTAACTCTCTGAGAAAAACGAAAAATAATTTGCGGTTTTTTGTAAAAACAACTTATTTTTCGAATAGGGGGTGACGAAAATCTTTAAAAATTTTTGGAAAGAATACGTGCCAAATAAAAGTTTTTGTCGCATATTAAAGATCAGATGGCGGGATATTTCCCTATGAATTTATCTCAATTTCGATGATTCTGGAGAAAAGTGACTTTTTTGACGGAAAGGACGACTTAATGAACATATTGTAAAAAAAAAGCAAAACAAGTAATTTGTTATATAAAAATCTATTTAAAATGTTTATTTTAATGATGACCATTATTACTGTTGTTATTATTAATGGCTTTCACAGCTTGGACAAGTACAAGTACTGCAAGTAAACGTATTTTACTTATACTTATACTTTTACTTGAAAAAAACTTACTTGTACTTGTCTTCGAACAAGTATACTTGTTTCTGTAGTTATACTTAAGTACAATAAAAAGTATTTATTTTGTATTTTTACTTGATGCATAAATATAAAATGTGGTCTGTAATGGTGACTACGCTAATAAACGTTTTAGAATAATTGTGGCACCATCTGCTAGAAAGTTAGATGGAAATACGATGCTAATTCAACATTTTTCGAGTATATGTTAGTGAAGTCACTATAGGATTCTTGTAAAAATCGTCTTATGTCATCTTTTAAGTTTCTTCGAAATAAAGAATGAGATCTGATGCTCATCTAAGTTGTTTTAGAATATTGAACTTATACAAACAGCCTATCATATCTATTTTAAAATGTGGCCGAAAACTTTATACGTCGAACATGAAAGTCTATATTAACGAAAACTTGTAGAACCATCTACTTTTTTTCCGATCTATTCAAATGACAATCAGATTTTAAATCAATCATCTTTCATTTTGATAAAAGCTCAATTTTAGTACTGAAATATAATTCTGAAACTATGCACTTCAGTTTATAAATATAAGCCTCACATTCTTTTCTCAAAGTACAAGTATTTATACTTGTATTTTGAAAAAAATACTTGATACTTTTCCTTTTACTTGAAAAAGTACAAAAAGTATAAATACAAATAGTTTTGTTCGAGCTATGATATCTTTATTCTTTATTGTAGTATGTAGTACAAGTGAAAATCTTTGTCTTTCTTGTTATATTATAGATAATTGATCAGTGTAATCGAAATATATTTAAATCTTTTGAACTACTTATATTAATTTAAATAATATTGACCAAAAAGTTATATTTATAATGAAAAGTCTTGATGACTATTTTCTGTGTGAGCCAAAACGACTTAAGTATATCAAGCCTATTCAATTTAAACAGATTGAGATTTGTTATCATTGCAAATGATTCATATTCAATGTAGTGTTTGAACAAACAAAACAGATAACAATCGTAAATGAAGAAGTGTTACATGGGGAAATGTAATCAATGTAGACGAATGTTATATGTCTTTTTGTAATTGATCATTTATTTATATGTAAGAATTTGAGAAAAGGAAAATCTTTAGAGATAATTTTGAAAAATTTATATTTATATGAACAATTATCAAACTAATGTTCGACATGGGTCAAGTTTTCGTGACGCGACCCGACCCGAGTCGGACACTGCTACCCATTTCTCGAGAAAGCTTGGAAGAACTATCTCAAAATCCTAGTAATTCCTGTTTGCAGGGTTTGTTCAAATTCTTTTTCAGATTGTTTTTCTAAAATAAGCACGCAGGACTCTATGAGAATTCTCTCTTGACCCTACTTAAGATCCTTGTAGGAACAGCGGACAAGATTCTGCCAAGACTTTATCAAGTTATAGCCAAGATTCGTTCCGAATTCTAATGCGAGTATCTAGTCAATAGTTGAAGTTATATCAGCAGAGAGTCTTAACAAGAATAAGACAAGATTAATCCAAATTCTAAGTGGATAAAATTTGCTAAATTTCAATCAACATCTTGTATGGAACTTTTCAAAAACAAGCGTTTTCGAATCCTTACAAGACAATACCGACTATGACTGTTATTATGATAGACAAAAATCTTGAACGTATAAAATAAAGAGATACTTGAAATTTTTATAATGTTTTACTGCGAGTCTGACAGCATTTATGAGCCTACGAGGGTTTTCTCTTGATCATAGCTCAATCTTTGTGCAAACAAATAAAGAGCTTATGGTAACATTTCAGAAATATGTTTTAGACTTCTCAAACATTTACATTGAGATTGATATGAAATACAGGTCAGAAATACAAGGTACTTGTATCCTAAATGGATCACAATTTGAATTCTGCGTAGAAAAAACTAGAAAATGACCTTCTGATTTTTAAAACTTTTTCGAGATGATTCGTGTCTACATCAGATTTCATTGTAAGTTAACAAGTCAATTGAAACTCAAGATATGAAAACTTGTAGCTATATATTTAATAACACCGCACAATTCAGTCGGTTAATGTGATTAGTTTGTAAAGAGAAGGTCTGTTTGCTTTCAATTTGAATAAATTTATTTTGAAAAAAAAACAGGTGAAATTGAATTCACAGATTTTGAAGTTCAATTTTCCGTTTTTGTGATCTTAGGTAGTATAAACTAGCACACTCGAATCAGTTCATTTCAACGAATCAATAAAACTCATTTTATTGCGAGTTGTACAGTTCTAATATAGTTACGGTGTAATGACTCATAACGGCCAAATCATTTCCGTTTCATTTGAAAACATCACTAGTTAATTGAGCACAACTTTTTACCCATATCTAAATAGTTTTTACGTAGAAATTCTTAGTTAACCGGTTTATGATCTTATACTAGTCTATTCCAAGTGACAGGATAATGCAGTCTAAATCTCTACAAATCTGTGCAACGTATAGTTCTAGTTTTCTTTCAAACGCGTAGAAGGCTCACTATAAACTTGCTCCAAAATGAGAGAAAGCTGCCGTCAAAATTTTTAAGAACAGAAGGGGGAACCTCACGTCTGCTCTTGACTAGTGTACTGCTTCTTTACTTACTTCTTGCATCGAATTTTTTTAGTTTCTCTCCACAACCATGCAAGGTTTTTTCTTGCTCTCCTCACGAATCGTGATTCAGTTATTTTTTGTTCGCCTTCATTCTCAAGTAGTACGTAGGCTACACATGTTTGGTGTCTTGCTGTGTCATTTTTGCTTGGTTCCTCCTTCGATTAGTTTCTTTATATTGAGTTGTAAAGCACTACATTCACTGTTTTGTACAGCTGCGTCATACTTTCTCTTCCGTTTTTTTTGTCATTAAGTTTTTATCGTAGAGACTGAAGCCAGATCAAACCGTTGATCAATTCGACTCAATAAGCACGGCATGATCAATTGCTACGCCAGAGAAACGAAGTTCGCTTCGGAAGTGACGTAACATTTTTGCATTGGGTGCTTCTACAAACTGAGTTGGACAATTTTCACGAGATGTCTATCGCTAGATGATCTCCTACTTATATCGTATATCATAGAAATAATGATAGAGTCATCATATAAAATTGAGTTTAGCCTCCAAAAATTCTCTGTTAGAGTCTCTACAGAACTGTACGTAGAGAAGTAGAACTGTGTGACTAGCATGTCTGGATGTGGATGTGTGATTGAAGGTCCGATTTTCACCTACACTCATATCTACACTCAACTTATGCGTACAATGATTAACGTGAACAATGGATGTCAAAATATTTTTACGGAGAAGGCAAAAGCCCTGGGAATCTTAACATTCCATTGAAATGTGAAAAAATAGCTATTTTTTTGAATTCTTAGGATCTAACTACGCATATTTCATAATTATGATCTTCGGCATTTACCATAAGTATGCCAAAAAATTAATTTGTCTAAATTAAGCAAAATCAAAAAAGTGTTGTATTTTCATGAGATCATAGTTAAGATTGGTCGCTTCTCGGAGGATTCTCTCTTCAAAACCAATAAGTGATACAGTTGAAGAAAATCATATGTTGGATCAAGCTGAATAAAAAATGTCCGCTCATTTGTTGTACTTTGAACTGAAGTAAAAAGTATGCTACTTTTCTATTTCGATAAACTGGTTGAGAACGAACATTCTTATAGAATGATTATTGATTGTGATTTTCTTCAAAAGATCAAATAAATAAAATTTGTAAATAATAGAAAATAAAATTGAATGTATCAAATGATACTATCGCACTTCTCACGCGCATCCTTCTATAGACATGTAAAACTAATGAAAATAACGTACCCATGAATAGAGATGACCAAAGCTGCAAACGATATTTTTGCACCATTAGTCATCTCCGTAGAATGAATGATATGTGTCGTTTCGTTTGATGTTTGCATCATTTCAGCATTCTTCTGACAACAGCAAAAAATGTACACGTCATTCCCTCATTCACTTCCCATGTAAAAAAAGATCACAATAAAGTCACGAAAAATCGATATTTTGCGTTAGTTGTTTCTCATGATCTATATGAGTGATAGATGGAGGAAGTAGAAATTTAAAGTAAAATACGAGTAAATCTGTAAATTGACGTCATTTATTTCATGACAAAATTGAGATGAGTGGGTGGCTGTTAATTACGAAAGTTATTTGTAAGTCGGAAAATTACACTTTAGTTATTAAGACTTGTATAAAATATTAGAAGCTTACATCTATAGTGAACATTTGAAAACATGAAAAGAGCATCTATTTTGTATCCCACGACCAAAAAGCAAGATCATTTCTTTTTATGGGCAATGGTTTTGCTTCCAATTTTCTCGTTAATTGCCTATGTCTTTGATGCATTTTACTATTATAATATGTTGTACAAATCTAAATCATCAATGTATGAAGGTCTTCTCTCAACAATTCTCATAGTATTTTCTTATCTACAATATTGTGCTCCAATTGAATCACGTTATTTATTACTCTTCTATCATCTACTCTTATGGGTGCTTGCTGAAATTGGTCATATCGGATATACCCTCTCATATATTTATAAGAAGGACAACTTCTTTATCGTTATATTTTGCGGATGTGTAGTTCTCGACACAATTTTCACAGCGGCACTTATTTACTGTCGTGTCTATCGAAAACTCCATCATCATATTGAAGTGGAAAACAAACACATTTTCCATTTTATCTCTCGATTGGAAGTCATTCTAGCCATATTCATTCCTATTTATTTTAATCAAAAATTTACAACAAGAACTCAAGACAATATCGCCTTTTTTCTCTTATTCGACTTTTTTTCAGAGAAATACGAACATTTTCGTAGTGGTTGGATCAAATCGTTTCTGTATTTGTTTGTAGCCGTTGTGACTGTATCTGTGACATGTGAATGGCTCTACTTTCATGCTGAAATGCACATATTTGAATATATTGCCGCTATTGCCGAATTCGTAGCTACATGCCTTTGTTATACTCTAATTATCATGCAGTTTTTTACATTTCACTTCAACTGTCATGTTGAAACTGATGACGTCAAGAAAGTATCAATCCCCACCTTCATTGTAAGACAACAATCTCACCAAGACAGTTCCGCAGATATTATTAATATCAACCGACGGTTTTGATTTGTTCATAGTGATTTTGAAGTTAATGGATTGTATATAACAATGAAAACAAATGTGATTCTGATCGATTTTTCTTTCTGTAACAAGAGAATATTGATTTAAATAAACTTATTTCGTTTTTATATTCGTTCGAAAGAAGGGTGTGAGTGTGGGAGTGGGGGTGGGTGATGTAGGTGAGGGAAAAAGAAGAGCTACTCACACCCACACCCTAGAAAGAGCAAACATTACTTTACAAAAGTGTCATAATCATCAATTTTTGGTAAGGTATCTATCAACAATGAGAGCTTTGATAAGAGATACAATGATGTTTTCACAGTTTCTTGATTTTCAGGCTTATAGGATGAATTCGGTCATTTCTAGAGACCATCTGGTCGATTCTGAACCTAGTCGTGTTCGAAAATCTGATGCAATCAAGAAAAAGAAAGTAGGATTAAATGAAATGTTTTTTTTTATGAAATAATGAGAAAAATTACTGAACAACAGTTTTTTTTAGACGTTTGAAAGATTTAACCATAACTGCTAATATACTTTCTGCTGGTCCTCTTGATCGATCAAAAAAATGACGGATGATTTTATTTATAAACTTTTTATGCATACGTTCTTAACAATCAATAAATCATGAAAAGAACAGTATGTTTTATGTCTTCTTCTTATAATTTGCTGACATCTACTGCCATCTGGTGGTTTCATATTCTGTTTCTACAAGCTCTATTAAGGTTTTTCCATAGAAACTGGTAAATATGATGAAGGAAAGAATCTTTTCAGCCTTTTTTTTTGAATCTCTTACCTAACATAATCCTTGAAATTAATCATAATGAGTAAGAACATCAAATTTTTTATTTTCGAATAAAAACATATAGTATATTTATTGTATTATTTCAATCATAGGTAAATTATTAATAGATGATCTACTACAAGACTTTGATGTCAATAATAATGGTAAATTAATGAAAGTCAAAACAATACATATATGTTTATTTATTTAGACAAAAGTAAAACACGTCCAAAAAAACAGGCGTCTATTGATGACATTGATGATGGTGATTGGCTTTCTTCAACAATAGTAAATTAAATATAATAAAAAAAATTTGCAATTTCAAATATATGATTTTTTTAGGATACAAAAAAATCAACAACAAATACAACTTTAAAACGACAAAATGATATTGGTGATGATATTGATCTAGATGATCGATGGAATCGAACAGGCGGTTCTAATTCTTCATATAAACCAAGTTTTGCTGGTGGTAGTACCTTGGATACAACAAATTTTAGTATGTTAAATTCTATTATATTTCAAATCTTTCAATATGTATCGTGAAAAAAAAATTCAACCTTTTATTTGTTTGTAAAATTAATATAAAACATTGAAAGTAAAAGGATTACAAAACTTTTGTTGTTCTTTAAACTAGATTCAAATTACCTTGTAGCCAAACAAAAAAAAAACCCAATAGATTTTTCTATTTTGAGTTATTGCCGTTTTTTCTGATTTTGGAAATCAAAGATATTGATAATTATGAAAACTTAGTTGATTGTATTTGCACTCATTAAATCATATATATAAAGAGGCACAAAGAAAGACGATAATTGGATTTGTCTGACTAATAAATACAATATCAGAATCATAAGGTGCGAGAATTTCGAGAATTGAGCAAAACGTTTGTGTCATATTTTTATAGGTTGCTCGTTGAATTGACTATAAAAATATTTTTTTTGATATATTCATATGTAAATATCAGTTTCTATTCAATGATTTTGACCATCAGAAGTTAAGTTCCGAAAGAAACGAATATTATATTCAAAACCAGCATAACAATCTGCATCGATAGATATCTTTAATACTCAAAACTAAGTTTTAGTTAATTTGGGTTCTTATACTTTCTCACTGTGATTTTCGAATAACCTGACTTGTGCTTCCCCTAAGATCGAAAGCTAAATTTGAATATGATATTCTTTTTTCGTAGAATTAGAATTCTAATAACCGAATTCGTTGAATATAAAATCATACTTACGTATGAATATGTGAAAAAAAAAGTAACTTGATAAGCGCTATCCAATTGTGACAAAAAATATTTCGAATTCTTCGTACTTTACTTCATTTCAGACGTTTCATACCTTATTCAAGTCGTCTGTAATTGTTAGCCTTAATGTTATACGACTTATGATTCCGTATAGATTATAGTTTCGTGCATTTCTATAATTGATATTTGTCGCATTTGAAAATATTATCAGCATATTATTTAATTTTATTATAAATATTTAGCTCAAGGTCAAGATACATTACAACGTATTATAAGTCAACCTCGACCAGTAACATCAAGTGGTTCTACAAAATTTGATGTTTTATTTGGAAGTAAATATTAAATTTTTTTTTTTTTGTTTTGATTTCTTCTATGTTTCATTTAGGTTCACCACCAAAATCTACTACTATTGGAGAATTAGAAAAAAATAAAAAAGCAGTTCGGTAAGATATAAATTCGATAATATAAGAAATATTTATTTGTTTATTTCATAGATTTGAAGATCCTGATCTTACACGTCCATCAACAGCTCCATCAACATCAGATAAATTACAAAATCGTCCTAATATAAATGTATTATCATCTTTACGTACAGGTCTTGAACCAAATAAATCATCTGATATATTTTCTCCAACTAAAACAACAACTGGATCAAGTAAATCAAATGATTGGCTTGGTTTAAAAGATGAAACAAGTGATGACGATGTTTTTCCAACACATATAACACAAAAAATTGAACCAGCTATTACTACTCTTGCTAAAAAAGCACCAATATTACCTGTTCAAGAAACACGTTCAACCATAGTTGAACAACCAAAAAAATCTGTCCTAGAAGATTTACTTGAAGAGGATCGACGTGCATTAACAGAAAACACAACAATAACACGTAAAATTTCAACAAATAAACCAATACAAGATTTTCTATTAGATGAACGAACAACATCAAATAAACGTCCAACAACAACTAGTATATCAAAAACTCCATCATTTACAGATAATCAAGGAGTTAATTCATCTCCTAAAACTTTATTTGATACAAGAAATGATTATAGTATTTTGTTGCTTCTATTGTTTTTTAAAATATTAATTTTTTTTCTATTTTAAGCTAATGATATTTTTAAAAATCCATCAATAGATTCAATTTTTCATACAGATCAACCAATCTCAACAGCAATAAGAACAAATGCTTCAACAGTAAATGTTAGTAGATAAAAATAATAAACAAAAAAAAAATTCTTTTTGTTTTTCATAGCTTGATATGAAAAAACTTGAATTTGAAAATAATGAACTTAAAATGACTGTTGATCATATGAAACGACAACATGAACTTGAAATTACAATGCTTGAAGAAGGTTATAAACATCGACTTGAATATGTTGAAAAATCATGTGAAAGAAGAGAAGTTAGGTAAGATTAATCTTTCAAAAAAACAAAAGAGTCTCAGTGTTTTCATGGATTATTTCAAATAATTCTCATAGTTTAAAACATTAACCCTTTAAGTACCATGACTCAGCTAATGAATGAAATTTCTTTGAGAATTTGTATTTAATATGGACAGTATGCATTGTTGATATTTTCATCAAAACTTTTTAAAAAATCTTTAAAGTCATTTTCGGTCCATGCCCGTACTCTCCCACGGGGATGGTGAAGAAGTATTTTGGTCATCCCCGTGAGGGAGAGTACGGGTGTGGGTCGAAAATCGATTGAGAATTGTCGCCATATCAACCTTTTAAATATCACTACGAGCCACTCCTAACTTAGTTCCAACACGGAAAATCGAAATATTTTGCGAACCACAAAAAGACATTATTCGCTCTCCTTATTTTTAAAATAGAAGTGGTGTTCCGAAGATTCGTCAGACTTACTACCTGAGTGTCCTCATTAGGATGATAACTCTTATATGCACCGAAGTCTCTTCTATGTCATAGAGAAAACCGCAGTTCGATATCATTTCACGTTCGCGAGTTATTCAAGAACTAAAATACTTAAAAAAACCGTACTTTATAAAGTACGCTGGTACTTAAATAGTTAAAGGAAAGATCGAATGGAATTTTCTCAAATGAAAAACGATCTTACAATTGAGAATGTTCACTTGTTAGTTTTATTTATTTTGAATTCAATTATTAGTCTTATATTGTGCGTTAATTTCGAATCGATAAGAATTCATTGGAACTAAAATACTTGTTTTTGTTTTTGAAAATAATAATATTCTTTTAAGATTAAAAGAAGAAAATGAACATTTACTTCGTCAATTAAATGATCGTACACAACAATATGAAAATGAAAAATCTACTTTATTACTTGATCATCAACGACGTTTAGATGATTTACAACGAGATCGAACAACAGAACTTGAAAATTTACGAACATTACAACGGTTTATTTAATTATTACTTATAATCAATCAACTTTTATTCTTTTTATAGACAAACTCTTGATCATTTACGACGAGAACATGAACAAACAATTCAACGTTTAAAACAACTTAAACAAGAAGAAATATCAACAGCACTTGATGTTACAACACATACACGGTATTTTACATTAGAAATAAATTATTATTTATTATTTCTATTATTATCTAGAGCATTTGAATCTGTTGTTGATCATATGGAACAAAATGCTAAAAATATTGATCAACTTAGACTTAAAATTGAAGCTAAACATAGTTCTGTTTTAACAGATAAAGAAATTGAAGCACGAAATAAAGAACAACAACTTAAAGGTTGATTTTTATTCATCTAAAAAAGATGATTATCTCATCATATTTAATCTTTTTATTGTTTTTAGCTTATGAAGAACGTTTACAAATGCAAGCACTTGATTTTGAACGTGAACGTAAAAATTTACAAGAACTTATTTCACGATTAGAAGTTCATTTATCTGAACAAACAAAACTTGTTGAAGAAGTATTAAAAACAAAATTCAAAATAATTATTTTTTTATTCATTATTTTAAGGAACGATGGAAAGCATTACAATCTCAAAAACGTATGGAAGCTATGCAAGATGCATTAAATGGTGAACAACGTTTATTTATGGAGAAATTAACACGTGAACGTTCAGAAATTCAACGTAGTAAAGATCAATTACTTGAAGATCAAAAATTAACATTAGCTAATATATATGAAAATCGTTCACAATTAGCTGATGAACGTGCTAAAATTGAAGCATTACAAAAAAATTTTCAAGAACAAAAACATCGAGATATGTTACAAAATGCTACAGTAAAATATATTAATAAAAATTTAAATTGAAAATATTTTGTTTTGTTTTTTGTTTTTTCAATAAGATTGAAGCAGAAAATCGTGCACAACAAAAATTAGCTGCTGAACAATTAGTACGTCTTGAAAAACGTGAACAAGAATTAATTAAACGTGAAGAAACATTTTTATTAGAAAAACGTTCATTAAATGAATTAAAACAACATATTGATATTGAACAATCAAATATAAAAAATCAATATGAAGATATAAAACAAAAATTAATTGAAATTGAACATGCTAATGAATTAATTAAAAAAGAAAAAGAACGTTTATCACAACTTTATTTTGAATTACATACACTTGATGGAAAAAATACTGGACGTCTTCAACAATTACAAAAATCAATTCATAATTTACGACAACAAGAAGAACATATGAATGAAGTAAATGATTTTGTTTTAATTAAATTTAAACATAAAAATTCTAGAATTAAGTTGTCGTTTTTTTTGGTTTCGTCTTGAAAATTTTCATCGATTACCACAAAAAAATTCAAATCACATATCTCTTTTATTCATATTGTATAGATAGTTTCATGAAACTAGACACTTTACTTTATCAAACATCATATATATTTAAGCTTTCCTTCTTGAGAACAGATTTTAGAAAAATTAGAATGTCAAGGATAATGAAATATAAAATCTATGTGTTTTAACTTAAATGATTTTTTTTCAAATCACTGTTGTAATATATATGGTATTGTTATTTAACCTATCATCAAAATTTCACATTGTTCTATTTGATTGTAATCCAATATTACGGAACTAATAGCTATTAATGTACACATATACACTCATGTTTTTGTTTTGAATCTCATTCAGTCGATTGCTCTTTTGCGTTATTATTATTTTAGTATGTTCAATAGTATCACAATATCTTATTATTTATAAAAACAGAAAAGAAGTTAAAACTGAAGAAGAAAAAATCAAGTTACATTTATAATTGTGTAATGTAGTGAGTCATCTATGTCGTAATAAACTTTTCTAGCAAAGGAACCAACTGAACTATGAATATCTTGAAAACAGTTCAGATCCTTAATTTATTCGTGCCATGATATTTTTAAATGAATGTGGTAATCAGATCTATCCTTTGTACAAATTCGAAAATCGACTTATCTAAGAAGAACTACAGCATTCATTTAAGCACCCGTATCTCTACAACAATAAACTAAAAGTCCAAAGTCTTTTCAGAATATTCAGTATTCACTTAAGTCTACATGATGTACATAGTACTGACTAAAAAGCAATATATCAATTCATGAACTTTTTTTGTAAGAAGCAAAATTTTTTTGATTATATCAATGATAACATTCTTATTGTAATAGAACAATGAAATAAACTTTTTTTTTTTTTCATATAAATTCTTATAATAATATTGTTTTATAGAAATATTCTCGTATGTCTAATGAACGTGAAAATTTAAAACATCTTCGTTCAAATGTTCCATTGAAAAAACAAACTCCAACTATTGATTCAGGTTTTTCAAGTAAATATTTATTTTCAAATATTTTATTGAAATAAAAAAAAAAAAACATGCAACGGTTTTTCTTTTTATTTATTTTAGCTTTACAATTAGCTGCAGCTACACCACTTTTACCAATAAATTCTTCTCAACAATCTTTTGATGAAAATGCTATTTTACGATCATTACGTATGAATGCTCTGCAAGTATGTTCGATTTAATAAATAATTATCATTTAAAAAAAACAAACTTTTTTCTGTTTAGGATCAATTATATATTGAAGATGAAATGTCATTTCTTAACAGTTTACGTACTGGCAATCATCTATCATTACGTAGTGCAAGTCTTTCCAATCTTCATCGTCATCCGGAAACGAATTTACTTAGGACAAATCAATAATTTTAAGTGATTTCTTTTCTTATGTATTTATAAATGTTAGAAAAGAAACATCAAATCATGAATCCATTACTTTTTACTTCTTCGTCTTTTCTTTTTTTTTAATTGTATTTTTTATTTTCCAAGTATCTGCTTTTTTATAATGAGAATATTTGATAAAGTTCAGTATTTGAGGGTAGACAGTGTAATGAGAATAAGAATAGAAACAAATTCAAATAATTGAACAGATCACCAAAAAAAAAAAAAAAAGAAATAAATGATTTCTGTTTTATATCAAATATATTGTTCTCTTGATAATATAATCACCAGAAAAAACAATTTTTTGTCATTTAAATAAAAAAGAAAATTATTTGATTAACATACAACATTATTTTACATCTTTGATTATTAGAGAAAGTAAGTAGACATAGGATTGTTATCTAAGATTATTTGTTATATAATAATAGAGAATGGAAAAAGAGATATATTGTTTTGTTCTGAGATGTCCTTGGTGTACTTTGTTGACTTTCTGATAACATATAAACATTTGGTAACTATTCGATCTGATATATTAGTTTTAGTACATGAATATTCGAGGAAATATATTCAAAATTAGAACAGTATGTATTATTAGTATTATTTATAATACTTTATAAGATGTATAATTTTTGATAAGAAAGTCTCGATTGATATGAATTAATTAAACTTGAATTTTTCTTCCTAGTTCATTTTATCATGATTATCATTAGAAAGATATCTCAGTACAATTATAAAAAATATGATGAATAAACATAAAAGTTATAGTTACAATGATTAAATCTAACAACCGAGAAATAAAATCGTGAAATGAAGAAAACATTCACTGTTCTTCAAATTTGGGACAGAATTGAAAAAAAAGAAATAGAATATTTCTTTACTTTCTTACTTACTCCATGGCATGACCTCCAAATTCAAGTTATTTATTTATTCATCCATCTATAGTATGTACAAATTTCTAGAGAATGATGTATTTCTCCATAAATAGACATAAATATCATAGAAAAAACTTGACAAGAAATTTCGATAAGATGTAGACATTTTCATTCATATTTAATTTATTAATATAGTTAATATTATATAAACGAATTAAACTTTCAAATATCCTACGAAAAAAATATACTAGAAATTCAGCAGCAATTTGATTTGCGTATTACGAACCCACACGTGTTACTTGCTTCCCATTTCTATTAGTCGATTATAGTGAAAGAAGAAAGGAGAAAAACTAACGATACACGTGGTACGACCATGATAAGAAAAATGCGGGTAGTAAGAAAGAACAAGATGAATATGATCAAAAAATGCCCTGCTTTAGAATAAACATATAAAATGAGTTATGTCTGTTTATATCATGCGTATTACATTCAAGGTTCAATAATACATGCCAGGTACACTCTCAAAAAAAAGAAATGATGAGGACGACTTTCTATCGTTGAACTTCTACGAATTAATAAGGATTCGATTGTTCTTTTATTCTAGGGAATAATTTCCAATGTCTACAAACATCGATGAACCCTCAAACAATCGAACAAGTTCGCGAAAGTGAGTATATCTTGATGAAAGTAATACTAACATCCATCCTAATTGAGTTGGTAGTCTTTAATTTAAACATTCAATCGGATAGTGTAGTTATATAAAAGTCATAAATCTATTATTTATGAAGTAAATGATAAATAAATATAGATCAAACACGATCGAACTCATATTCTAAGTAGTTTTTCAAACTAATTTGTTTGACATCTTAATATGAGTCATTGTAAATGAACATCTATTCATTTGTACAGAAATAGTTCTTTTGATAATCACTGATTTAATAAGTTTTTTTTTAATAATATGTTATAGGGTAAATGTTTGATGAATTTTTAAATCAAATCATTCCAAAAAAATTTCATTCCATTCTCGAAATATTCTCATTGTTGTGTAGCAAAAAGAAAACTGCTTAACTGATATTTGTTTTGTGACGTCGCATATTAAATCAGTCAACCTCTGAGAACTGTGAAATAGAAATTGTTAAACTATCGAGAAACTATTCAGAGAACTCTGTTAATTTCTCGGTGAATCGAGCATAGTTTCGCCATTCATATTAGCCAAAATGATGTATCTTCTACATTAGTTTTCGCAATTACACACTTCTTCGATAGGAATGTAAGAGCAAAAAATATCATAGGTATTGCATTTTTTTTTATTTTGATTCTCATGAAACTATGCGAACATTTACGGTGAATTTCTATAGTTCAATTCTTTAACAGCTCATGGAATATGATAGTTTATTCAGTAAAATTTAGATGTTTTGCCAATGAAACAATATTTTTTTTTCAAACGACTTACGTCGTCGAAGTCAATCAAATATTTACTCTTTAACATATGTCAAAACCATCAATTAAGCATAATAGACTGTGTCATAGATTCGTTTGATATTACCCATCGAAATATATAAAACAAAATCGTACTTTACATGTTAAACTTTATCATCTAATGTATGTCCATGGATAATAATCTTCGATTAAGATGTATGAATGAATTTTACTCAATAACACCAAAAAAAAAAATTGAAATATGTAATATTTTAAAGATAGTTATTATAATATTATAATTAATAAAAAAGTTACTTAGAGAATAGAGGACGACGTTATATTAATCAGAAAACGTACTCAGATGCCGTACCCCCCTGCTCTGAATGAATCTTTACAAAATTTGAGGAACGCAAAATGTAATTATCGTGCAAGGCAAATTATTTCATGAAAAATCAAGTATCTTAGTATTAACTGCAGAATATCACGTTTCATACAGAATTCTTTTCTAAACATTTTTTTTTAAATAATTTATCTATTCGCTTAAAAATAATAAAGATAAAATGTGAATATTGAAATGATTTAAAATATATAATAGAAATCTTTAGTAACAAGATCAAGCAAGAGTATGTCCTATACAATCTATCAAATTTCCGTGATTGTCAAAATAAAGAAATAACAGATTTCATATTGAGTTAAGCATAAAGTTAAAATTGCTTGTGTTGAATTTGCAGTATTTGACTATCGATCATTCAAAACAATTTATAGTATCAATTTTGAAAATCTTGCACAAAAAAAAATTTTTTATGCTTGTCAGTACTTTTAGAGAGCTATGAGTATACTTTTTGTGAACTAAACATGAACCCATAGTTCCATAAACTTCAATATGTTCTCGTGTAAGATTCTGTATGAAAATCCAGCATGAGTATGATTTTTTTCTATCCGTGTCGACATTAGTGAGATATACTTATACTTCGGCTTATACTCTAAGCCAAAACTCTGATTAAATAAATGTACTCTCGTATCAATAGATTCTTCGAAAAGAAATCATGATTTAATAAGTTTCTTTATATATAGGCGAAATCTCTTCGAATATTTATTTCTTAAATTTAATACATTTTATGAAAATCAATTTTCAACTATTGGTACACATATTGGTAGTAAACCTTATATATTTATATTCGTTCCATTTATTTTAACTGGTTTTTGTTTATTGGGTCTTTTACGTATTAATATGAATAATAATGCTGATGATCTATTTATACCAATTAATAGTAAAAGTGTACGTGATCGAGATATCATAGCTAATCTATTACCAATGAATTATGATGAATATTATCTTCATCAAGATTATGATTTTGGTATATATGGTGATGTTATATTTATAACAAATGATTATGGAAATATAGGACGTTTAATTGTACGAAAAGAACTTAAACGTATTTATAATCTTATACAAAAAATTAATGTTACTTATAATAATCAAACATATTTTTATAAAGATATTTGTGCTAAACGTAATAATAAATGTGTAACTGAAGGTGATATTTTTTTTCGTGATACATTTTGGAAACGTTTAAATGAAACACAATTACATAAATATATTACAAATAATCTTTATACAGATGATGATGGTTTACCAAATTTATTAACATTTATATTTGGAAAAAATTTAAAAATTAATTTAAATAATGGTACATTATATGCTAAAGTACTTAAATTACGTTTTAATTTACGACGAACATTATTTAAAAAAAATCAATATGAAAATATTGAAATAATAAGTCGAATGTGGGAACAAGCTTTTTTACAATTTTTTCAACATTTTGAATCAATTATGGTTCGTACAATGTATTCTGTATCAACATCAATTGATCAAGAACTTGAAAATAATATTAATTTAGGTAAATATTAATAAAATATTATTGAAATTATATTTAGATTTTTTTTTGTTTTAATCTAATAGATATGAATTTAGTTGTTATAACATTTATTGTAATGATTATTGTTGCTACTATTTGTTTGTCAATACGTGGTCCATTAGCACAATCACCAGCATATTTATCTTCTATTGGTGTTTTAGCAACAATGTTAGGATTAATTTCTGGTTTTGGATTTTGTGCACTTATTGGTATACCTATGTGTTCATTAGTATTTGCTACACCATTTCTTATTATTGGTAAAATATATATGTTTTTATTTTTGTTAAATATTAAAATGATTTTTTAATTAGGTGTTGGTACTGATGATATGTTTTTAATTTATTCGGCTTATCATCGAACAATAACATCTGAAACAACTTCACAAAGATTAGCACAAACATTTCGTATTTGTGGATCTGGTATAACAATAACATCTTTAACAAATGTTATTGCTTTTCTAGTTGGAGCAACTACAGATTTCTATGGTATACGTCTATTTTGTTTTTATACAAGTAAGATTATATTTAATTCTTATATATATATATATGCATGCAAATTTATTGTACTGCTAATTTTTATCTTTTGTGGAATGATGAACACAAAGAGATCTACAGAAATTTCTTTCTTATCTAACTGATAGAAAGTTAACCGTTTAGCAAAACTTTTCAAAATTTTAATAGTATCTATTAAACATCGTTAGATTGGTAAAGATTTACCGAATGAACTATCCGAGATGATACCTCAGTCATTTCATAAAGCCTGTTGATCTTCTGTA